TCTTTTTTTTTTATTTGTTAATGTATTTTATTCTTAAATTAATTTTATTTTCTTCAAGTGGGTTCCATCACTTTTTTTTTTTGGACATGCTATTTTTGTTTTTTTTTTTTGTTAACTTTTTTATATTTTATATTTTTGTTTTATTAATTTTTTTAATTTTTGGGCCCACTTTTTTTGAATGATAGAACCTTTTTTTCCTGATAAGTTTTTGGACCATTTTATTTTTTATATTTTATCTTTTTTAATTTTTTTTTATATTTATTACTTAAAAAATAAAATTTTGTGGGACTTATCATGTTTGTTTTTCATAGGGTTTATTTTGAGTTTTTTACTTTTTATATATTTTATGTTTTCTATTTCGATGGTGACTATGATCTGTTTTATAGATTTATTTTTTTGTTTTGGATTCTTTTTGAATCATTTTTTTTTTTTGGGTCTTTTTTATGAGTTTTTTTTTTTACTATTTTTATATATTTTATGTTTTTATTGTGAAACCCGCAAGTTTTTTTATTGACCCATTTTTTGTTGTGTTTTTAAATTTTTTTTTTTTTAAAATGTAAGAGCCTTTTTTTTTGCACTAAATTTTATCTTTCTTCATTTCAAAATTTTTTGTACGGTGTTGCATGTTTCTAATTTTTATGCCTATTTAATATTTAATAATTTTTTTTATTTTTTTGTTTAGACTCAGTTGAAACCAATTTAATAATTTTTTTGTTTAAAAATTTTAATTTTTTATATCTTATTTTTTTTGTTTGACCGGTTTAATGCTAAAGGTATGTAAAGTATTAAACCAATTAACGCCTTAATAAACTTGAATAATTTTTAATGCAAACCCTACAAAAAAAATAAAAACATCTCAAAAAAATTATTAAAATCAATTGAGGTATGTTTGTTGGGGAACACCACAGCTCTGATACCATTTGTTGGGCTAAAAGCCTCTAATCCAACCACACACAGCAGAAGCGAAATCAAACAATAAAGCAAACACATAAAAGATAACAATTTAACGTGGTTCGGTCCAACTGACCTACATCCACGGATGAGAAAAAAGATCCACTAGTTGTAGAGAATTACAAACTTACATCAAATCATCAACCTCACTCAACAATCAATACTCATAAGACACTCTCAATCTCCTTTAGTCCTATGGAGTATTTTCAACCCAAATAAACACAAACTTAAATCCTTGTGCACCCTTTCAACATAACCAAACACATACCCATATGCTCCCATACACCATACCTATGTGGACCCTCTCAATCTCTTCTAGTCCACTCATAAACAAACATACACACCCATAAGACGTAGAGCCTCAATACTCCTATGGGGTATCTATCCCATAAAACCCTACAACTCTCTTACATATTTTTTTCATACCTAACCCTGTAGAGACTTCACCTATTTATAACCATACAAACTTGCCCATTAAGAATCCCTTTCCTCTTAGAATTCTTCTCTTGTAAGTCAAACTTGCCTATTAAGAATCCCTTTCCTTTTAGAATTCTTCTCTTACAAGTCAAACTTACCTATTAAGAATCCTCTTTCTCTTGGAATTCTTCTTTTATAAGTCTTCTTTCCATCAAGCAATATCTGACAAATCTCAAACAAATCTCTTATGAGATTTGAGTCAATATTCCCAACAATGTTAAATAAAACAATCCGTATCTAAATGATTTTGATTCAACCAAATTCGATAGGTGTATTTTTTATTTGAAATTGAATTGAGACTTTTTTGAAAATTAAATTCAAGTCGGATATTGATTTATAATATTCCTTTTTGCCTTAACTGTGTATATTAAATTATATTTTATATTATTTAATTTCATTTTATTTGTGTATGTATTATATTAATAAAGATATTATTTAATATCTTAATTTTTAAAAATGTCATATTTATACATAATTAAAATATAATCCATCCATCCAACTTTTTTAAATTTTTTATTTAGATTAATTTTGTAAAAAAAAAAAGTTTCCACATGGCATCCTAATTTTTTTTTCTTTTCAATTTTTTTAATTAGATATATTTTGTAATAATAATAAAAAACAATGAATAGGAATGTTAAAACAATTCGTATCGTATGGGTTCTCATTCAAATGAGATGTTCACATAGAACTCAAATAAACTTTCTTTTCCTCTCTTTTCCTTTTTATGTTTTATGTTTTATATTTTTTTTTCTCTTTTCCTTTTTCTATTAAAATTCTTTTGTAAAAAAAAATTAAAAGTGTCCATGTGGCAACCATTTGTTTTTTTTTTTTTTTACTTTTTTTAATTTTATAAATTTTGCAATGAAAGACATTAATTGATAAATATGCCGAAACAATTCATATTCGATTGATTTTGATCTATCTCGATCTGATAAGGGTCTATTTTTTTTTTTTAAATCAAGATTGAGTTGAAATGTATTAGATTTTTTTGAAAGAAATGATATTAGGTCGGAAGCATGTTTACGGTGCTTTTTTCCAACCAATTTTGAGATATATATTAAAGCATATATATTTTACATTTAATTTAATTTAATTTTAAGCATATATATACTATATTAATAAAATTATTTTTAACTTTAATTTAAGAAATTAATATTTTAAGCTCAATATAAAATATAAATGTAACACCATCCATAAGCTGTTTTTTATTTTTTTTTTCATTTTCTCTTTTCATTTTTTAGTCTTTTAGTTTTTTTTTAATTTTAATTTTTTAATTAGATAAATTTTATGAGCAAAGGAAGTTGACATGTTATTCATGTGTCATTCCCGTTTGTTTGTTTGTTTTTTTTTAATAGATAAATCTTGCAAAAGATATATGATAAATGCATATAACAAAACAAAAAAATTTTGACCCATGGCAACATGAAGGTATATTTCTAGCTTTTATAAAATTTAAAATCTTTTTTTTATATATTTTTGTATTTGTCAAACTAAAATTATCTTTAAAAATTATTTATTTGAATTTAAATGAAAATTCAATTGTTTTTTTTTGAAGTAAACTTATTCATCTTGAACTTAATACAATTTTGATAATTTCGATTTTAAGAAATAAATTAATTTGAGAAAGTTGATTTGTAAGAATAATTAAAGTTTTACAGCATTGAATTTATTTTTTTTTAATTTACAAAATTTTAATACTTGAATATGGATGAAAAGTCTTTTGAGTCTATTTTCTAATAGACCAAACAAAATGAAAATCAAAATTTTTTAAGAAAAGATTTTAAATTTTTATTAGAAACTATATAAGTTATCTAACAACTGCACAAGGGATAGTTTGAAAATTCACTATAATTATTACACATCAAATCAGATATTGAATTTTATATGTATTGAAAGTCACATAAATTTAGTTTCTAAATTTTCAAATAAATCTTGATTTGAAATTTTATAATTCAAAATATAATCAAATTAATAAGTAGAGTGTAAAAAAAATTTATTTGAAGGCAGTCAATGTACTATTCATATAGTCCCTTAAACAAATTTTGCAAAAATAAATAGATCACTATGAAAATGGATTGACCCATTCTGAAAATGAATCAATCTCTTTATGAAAATGTATTGATCCATTCTGAAATAGATTGATCCCCTATAATATAGATGGATCCATTATTTTGTAATTATTAAAATTTGAATTAAATTCAAGACTCAATCAATTCCCTATTGTATCCAATCATCTTTTTCGCTCTTGATAGCTTTTAAAGATTATTTTGAAAGGAGAAAATCATGCATTTTCATTTCTCAATCTCGGGCATTCCAACACACTTGTGAAGTAAGAAAGTAAGCACCAACAAGCTTTACTTTTATTTTCTCAAAAATGCAAGAGCATTCTAAAAATTAGAGCTTTAATTCTTCCCATTCTTATATCCAAGTTATATTTGTTCTTCCTTTATCATTCTTTGTACTCAAAATTAATCAAATATTTAACTTTTAAAGAGGTGCTTCATAGTTTAGAAATTTTTTGCATTCAAAAGGGATTTTTGAGTCAAAAAGTGAGGTATCTTCTTGACTGAAATTAATAGGATTGGATAATATTTAACTTTTAAAGAGGTGCTTCATAGTTTAGAAATTTTTTGCATTCAAAAGGGATTTTTGAGTCAAAAAGTGAGGTATCTTCTTGACTGAAATTAATAGGATTGGATAGAATGCTAGAAAGGGTAAATATTACTATTTTGACCTTAAAAGATATGAATTATATATTGTGAGAGATTTTTTTATTAGTGGGTTAACCCTAGATAGGAGAGCTAAGGGAGAAGATATAGGTGTCTTTGGAGAAGAACTAAATCTCTATAAATCTTTATCTTTGTTTTCTCTATCCCTACTCTTTTATTTCATTATTGTTTATATGTGCTTTAATTTTATTTATTATTGTTAACATTATCAAATTTCCATCAAAGATTTTATTGTTTTAAACTTCTCATTCAAATTTATTGAAAAAAAATTTTCGAAAAGAATTTGAAAATAATCCAATTTACCCTTCATGGATTGTCATCTATACTTAAGCTAACACCGATTTTATTAAAAAGCTGAGTTTTTATATAGGTTGCTGGTATCATTTTTTTGTATATCCATGTTCCTTCTTTGCAGGATTTCTTAAATGCATTGGTGGAAGCAGTTCAAATAATCAAAAGCAGAAGGAAGATCCAGAATTACCATTGTTTGACAAGGGGACAATTGCCCATGCAACAAAAAATTTTTGCAATACGAACAAGCTTGGGGAAGGTGGTTTTGGATCCGTCTGTAAGGTAAAAATGTAGTAAATTGGATAGCAATATCCTCTTTGTTAATAACTATGATTGTCTTCACTTCTTGCATCGACATCAGTAGCATGTAACTGAGGTTTTCTTCAACTTCATCATTACTTTCCTACTCTAGAGAGACGGAATACAGGATTCAGTGAGTATTATTCGTATTGTTACTCCATATATATTGACAAAACTTTTCAACTAGTAAGACTCAGCACTTCAGATATCAATGAAACTGTGTTTTTCTATGGGAGGGGTGGACTATTAGGTGTTTGGTTATGAAAATAGGAAAAGTAGCCTTCTGAATGGTGCCTGTTTAAATTTGGCATCAAACAAACTTTTCAGCATTACAATAATTGATCTGTGGTTATCAACTTCAGGATCTGTTAAGGGATGGACAAGAAATAGCAGTAAAGAGGCTATCAGAGAATTCGAAACAAGGTCTTAATGAGTTCAAAAATGAAGTACTACTTATTGCAAAGCTGCAGCACCGAAATTTAGTGAAGCTTCTTGGTAGCTGTATTGAAGGAGATGAAAAGATGTTGATCTATGAATTTATGCCTAACAAAAGCTTGAATTTCTTTCTTTTTGGTAATCTTTCTTAACCTTGCATGTGACTGCATTCAGCATAAAACCACAACTTAATATTTTCAAGTCCAATATCAAAATCCTGCCTTTAGGTTGCATGCTGAATTAGTTAGCCAATGCATAAATTTGCACGTTTCCAAGTTCACTTGGGCTGTTTAAAATTGTTTCTTTTCTTTATATATATATATATATATATATATTAATCCGGATATTGAATTGTGTAAGAAATTTAGCAGATCAAGCTCAAAGCTTGTCCCTGGATTGGCCTAAGCGCTACAACATCATCAATGGAATTGCTCGTGGACTCCTTTATCTTCATCAAGATTCCAGGCAAAGAATAATTCATAGAGATCTGAAAGCTGGTAATATATTACAAGACAGTCAACTGAACCCAAAAATTTCAGCCTTTGGCCTTGCTAGAAGTTTTGGAGAAAATGAAACCAAAGAAAAGACCAAGAAAGTGGTGGGAACATAGTAAGTTTTAGCTCCATAATGGTAAAACATTTAGTGTCAACGTATTATGTAAATTTGAAACAACAGCCAATGGTTTTCTGCAGTGGTTACATGTCTCGAGAGTATGCAATCGATGGGCTCTACTCAATTAAATCTGATGTTTTTAGCTTTGGTGTGTTGGTGCTAGAGATTGTTAGTGGCCAAAGAAACAGAGGATTCACACATCCAGATCACCACCATAACCTTCTTGGGCATGTAAGTTTGAAATGATGATCACATTTCACCTTTTTGATATGATTTCTATTATAATTGAAGTTGTTTTAACTCAATATATAGGCCTGGAAGTTATATGCTGAAGGGAAGTCCGTGGAACTGATTGCTGCACCAATTAGGGACAACATCTATCTATCTGAAGTTCTGAGATCAATCCATATAGGTCTATTATGCGTGCAACGGAGTCCAGAAGATAGGCCAAGCATGTCAAATGTGGTCCTGATGCTTGGTGGTGAAAGTCCTTTGCCTCAGCCTAAACAACCAGGTTTTTTCAGTGAAAGGGATCTAGTTGAAGCTAGTGCCTCATCAAGCTATCAGAAACCATGTTCATATGACGAATTCACCATTACACTAATGGAAGGAAGATAACAGACATTTTTCTCATATAGACCTTTCCATTTTATTTCCTTATTTTCATGTCTTGGTGGCAAATAAAGGGAATAACATCCAATGCTTCAATGTACAGTTTAAAGATTCAAAATTTAAGAACAGGAATGGTAGAGATTATTCTTTTAAAAAACAATTGATCTCCGAAACTCCACCTATCATAAGCATTACAATCCATGAAGACATGACATCAAGTTGTGGAAATTATGAAACACATTAGATGACACATCAAGTTGAAGACATGACATCAAGTAGCAACCTAGGGAAATCATCCTACATTCTGCTTCCTCCAGGGAGAGAGATTTGGGAAATTTATGCTGAACCACCCTGGGAAAACTTTTTTCTTTTACAATTGGAAAACTTAATACCAAGTAGATTGAAAGGTTGGATTTGTTTAAATTTGAACATGAAAGAACAGTTGTTGGGGGATATACAGTTGAGGTATTGACTTTGATAATCGACACTTAAAAATCACTGAATCCCTATTGGATGTAAATTCCTAATACGAGAAATTTTTGTATGTTTCAACAAATGAAAGCCAATCAGTCTTGGTTTCTATACTTTTTCCTCAATGTACGAGATTCATTGAATTGTCAATGACGAAATTCATTATCGTTATTCAACTGGAAATATTTAAATCTATTGAGGTGGAGCATCGGCAAAGATTGAAAAGAAATGTGAAAACAGAAATAACATTGAAAAAGTTGCTGCTTTGGCCATAAGTTTTGTGCTGCTGACTATTTGGTAGGCATGGTTGCATTTTTCATCGCCTTTATGGGTTTGCTGCTGCCACCATCCACCAGAATTAGAGACAGAGAGGTTCTGTTTTCTGTGCGAATGTCGTGATTGCTTCTACAGTTTATTTGGACAGTTATGGTTTCTAGCTCATGTCTTTGTCCGATGGTAACAGAAAATTGTTGATACAAGTACAACACAATCAATTAATTTAGGTTTCAAAGAAGAATAATATGCTTAGTTTGATAAAATTGTTTTTCTCTTCTATCATACATGCAAATTTTTATTTGTCAATTGAGCTGCTAATTAGTCGTTTACCTTGAATTTTACAACCCAGTTGCCTGTAAGTCATCTTCTAAAATCTAATCTTAAAAGATTAATTTTGTGACTATGAATGAATGCAAGAAACTTTTAACAATGAATTAACCAATGGAACTTTCAACCACAAGAGAGTGGTGCAGACAGTAACTGATAAAAACATTTCTATATCTTTAATCTTCATCTTTAGGAGAACCCTGAAGAAAATCATCTTCATTTCAAGACTATAATTCACAACATGTTTCTGACATTTTAGTACTTTACTAGGAATGTGCTAGGCTGCTGAATTATATTTAACTATGGTTTGGCTGGTGGCGTACTAGCATACACATATCTGCTATAAGAAGCACTATGCAGTGCATAAGTTAGTCTTTACAAGGTGCAAGGGATACAATATATCAAGAAAAACAAGCTAAAAACCTTGGAAGATAGCAACTTTCATGAGGCATCCTTTGAGAAAAACTATCCTGCTAGGGTGTCAAATGATAGTGAAATTTAAATGCGGAACTTCCTGAACCGAAAATGTTTCAAAATTTTCAGTAATTCGTAGTCACCTTGCAAAATTTTAGTGATATGATGCTCTTCTATCTTGCCTCTATTGTAATGGTGAATTCATTTAATGAAGATGATTGTTTGCCTGATGGCAGATTCTTTTCAATGAAATAACCAGGCTGATTTGGTTGAGGTAATGTACTCTCACCACCCAACATAAGCAACACAGATGACATGTTCGGTCTGTCTTCAGGGCGTTGTTGCACACATAAGAGAGCTACATGGATACATCTTAAAACTTCAGTTATAATGTAGGAGTCCCCTAATGTGTTCTCGATTAGTTCTAATGGCCTCTCTTCAATCCACAATCTCCATGCCTGAAAAATTTAAAAAAAAAATCATTTGTTACCATGAAATAGCAATTTAATATGTGACGTTTATGCTTACATGTCCAAGAAGATTATGGTCATGATCTGAGTAGCCTCTGCTTCTCTTCCCTGTTATTATCTCCAGAACCAAAACTCCAAAACTGAAGACATCAGATTTCATTGAGAAACACCCATGAAAGGCATACTCTGGAGACATGTAACCACTGGAAAATAATTGAAAATGAGAACCTTAAAAGTGACGTAGAAAATTATCCGAAAAGTTTACTAATACATACTATGTTCCAACCACTCTTCTTGTCTTGTCCTCAGTCTGATCTCCTCCAAACTTCCTAGCCAAGCCGAAGTCTGAAATCTTCGGATTCATACTATTATCTAGTAATATGTTACTGGCTTTTAGATCTCTATGGATAATCCTTAGTCTAGAGTCATGATGGAGATAAAGAAGCCCTCGAGCAATTCCATCTATAACGTGCATGCGCCTATGCCAGTCCAGCAATTTGTTTCTTGTTTTATCTGTCATCAATAATTAACCTTAGCTGCATTCTCAGTTGATTTTCAGATTAAAAATTCAAATCTGAAAGTGATAAGATATTGAGTTCAAACCAAAAATAAAGTAGTCTAAACTTTTGTTGGGCAAGTATTCATAGATTAGCATCCTTTCATCCCCCTTAATGCAAAAACCAAATAGCTTTACAAGATTGCGGTGCTGAAGTTTCACGATCAGTGTAACTTCATTTTTAAATTCATCCAATCCTTGTCCAGAATCCTTTGAAAGTCTCTTTACTGCAATTTCTTTTCCCTCTTTCAACATACCCTATCAATCATAAAGGGCAAAATGTTAAGAAACATGAAATGAAAGATGATTCAGCATATTATTGAAGACAACTGACCGCGTTTTGCTTCTTAATTACCTTGTATACATGACCAAAGCCACCTTGTCCCAGCTTGTTGCTGGTTGAGAAGTTATCTGTCGCATTAACTATAGTTGCAAAATCAAATAGTGGCAACTCCATCTTTTCCTTGTGTTTACCTGGTAATTCCAGAATCAGAATGAGACTCATTGGATAATGATATCAACATTAGCAGCTTTATAATCAAAATTAAATGGCATATCTAATCTAGCGGTATGATCCCCTGATATGAATTTCTTGCAACAAATTAATATCAACCAACTTTTTACCTTCATTGCTAAGATTTTTCTTTCGTTTGTATAGCAGAACCATTGTTACCATCATTCCCGTGGCTATTATGATGGAGATGGCTATGACTACTGCCTTCCGCTTTTCCTTTGACTTCATTTTTCTTTGAAGTTGATCTGAAAAATTGGGCACACAAAGATTCAGCAAACAAGGTTTTGAGTTCAGCTACTTCCAAAGTTTTTCAATAAAACTTCAGGCAAAGCTGCCATAGTTTTTGCAAATCTATAAACTTAAAAGTTAATCCAAGGTGTCTTTATAAATTAAGTAAAATCCCAATAATTACCAATTCCATGTTATTTTCATTTACTGCCACTGAATTAGGCAAACTTGCCTTACAGACTAAGAAAACTGGTGAAGCTTAAAATTAAATAAGTTAAAGAACAGCTACCTAGCTCTGACTTAGCCAGTCGAATATAGAGGTCTTGTCCATCCTCGGTGAATTCTGTCATGTCAATCAATTCATTAAACCAAAGCAAGCAGCCAGTTCCTTCTCTGATATCTAAATTTGCATATGCCGTGCAAGAGCAGTTTCTCAAACACAATTCCTCACACTCCTTGAAACTCATACTCTTGTTAGCCCAAGATTTTGAAGTGTCTGGCAATTCCAACCGAGTGTGCTTGAGAAAACTGTCTCCACTATCACAAGCCAGTGGTGTCCTTCTAATGCATCCGTCTGACCAATCTATTGAATTCCAATCACCGGAAGTTGGTGATTTGTGTACAAATCCTTCCAGGCATGCACATGGACTAGACCTATCAGGGTTGCAACTAGCATATGCTCCACAAAAGCCATAGACAGTACACTGATCTGTCTGTGCCGTAGAGAAAATCTCCCATTCTTGTTTTCTCTCATTCCATAAGAATCGCTGCATGAGGCCGGATGGATTCATTGCATACCTCGAAATAACTGAACTGTTTTGGAGCTCACATTTGTAGTACACCTCATTCTTATCCAAGACGAACTGATATGAATATAGTGGACTTGGTTTAGTATTTGGCTTCCGGTGTGAAAAATAAAGACCATTCCATGACCCTAATCTAAACACTACTTGCGATCCTTTCCTAGCAACTAATTGTGGGAATCCATGGGGATCTATTCTTAATGAATATTGCCCTTGAGCAGGATCATCTGCACTTTTCCAGGACGATATATACCTCTCAAAACCAGTGACTAAGTCCTTTCCAAGCTTCATTCCTGGTAAAAAGTTATCACAAGGATAATCAAAACTTTGCCAGAAAAAGTTCTGTGGATTGTTATCATTTCTGTCTTTCGCCACCAGATTTCCTGATTCCAACAGCTGTAAAACAGGATACTGGGCTGTTCTTGATGTATTGGAAGACCAAACAACAGTTTTCGTGCTATTCAGGAGTGTGAGAATTCCTTGGTTACCGAAACTTAGAACTCCTGAGTGATCAAAAATAGGAGCTTCCCTGTTGGCTACCCATACAACAGTCCTACTCGGAATATTCTTGTACCATATTCCAACATATCTACTCTTCGAGCTTCCAGGACTAAAAAATCCCAGTTCAAAGCTTTCACCAACTGATATAAGAGTTTCACCATCTTTTATGGACTGTCCTGGAGTAATAATTTTTAGTGTGGACGTTCGTAAAATGAAAGAGAATAAAACTAAGTACCAGATAACCTCCATTAATGAAAAGGCATGCAATGATTTTCTGATGATTTATGTCTCTTTTATTCAACAGCAGACAACATGCGTGATAGAGGGAGTTGCATGTAAAACAAGCTAGAAAATCGGAACCTCAGATAAGAAAAATCTTTGCATGGACCCTTTGATAAGAAAAATGCTACTAGCAATGAAGCTTATTAGAAACATTGAATCATTAAAGGATGACTGTTATCGTTGGATAGTCATTGTCGTCATCTATCTTGCTCTGAAATCAATTTTTTGATGTATTGGTGTCCAACACATATTTAACTGACATGGATGCGAAGACCCGACCCTCCAAATATATATATATATATATAAAGGTTAGAAAAATTGAACATATTTTTGTGGGATGTAGTGTGAATAGGATGACTTTTCCACTTCCATGAATCAAATATCTTTGAATTCCATTCTTGTGTCTCAGTTGGTTGGCTAAGCACGCTAGAGTTGAATTTGTCAATTATTTTCTCTACGCACATCTAGAAACCTTGTTAACCATTTTTTTCTTCTGAGTTTCCTTACAATTTAAATTCCTCCTTCACCAGCATTTAAATCATCTTAATAAACCTTCTTAACTCTCAATTAGATGATAAGACACTATAATAGAATTACCCAAAACGATTCTTGGTGAATCATGAGGGCTCAAGCAGAATTAGCCTCCATCAAAACTTCATACCAAAATGCATATCAGTTGCTCAAGCAGAATTAGCCTCTATCATTCCCCTTAAGGGCTCACCCTGGCAAGCAATACAGGTCAAACCCAAAGCAGACCGTTTTTGTCTTCTTACTTTTATTTGTTTACTTTGAATGGAACCAGAACAATTTCTGCTTCCATCAAAGTCGTTAAAATTACTTTACTTAAGATGTTAAGACCATAAACAACAATGACATGGTTGACAGCAAATATACAAACAACAAAAGTCAAGTCAAAGTTAAAAAAAATCTCCAAGGATTTTCATGACTTTAGGCTTGGCTCTAATATTGTCATGCACAAATGGGTTTGTTGGGCAGCGGAAAGCATCATTAGAAAACCATAGAACATAATTTTAAAGAAGTTTCTTTAGTAACATATGCAAATTATTGCTCATGAAATGTTGTGGTTAAATGAAACATCCAGTGGAGCTTTGATCATAGGTATGATGAAGTTCCGATTCGAAGGCAACATCAAAGATGTACTTTCGCAGCTTATAGATTGTTAGAAGATGTGTTTAGGACTGCTAATGTGGATTCATTGAATGTTTCATGTAGTTCCTGTTTTCTGGTGTTGGTTATTTTTTTGTTATTCATCGCTGGTGGTCAGGCTTAATCTTAGGATTATGATTTTAGTGGGTAGTTATTAATTAGGCTTTAAATTGTAATGTTTATGATGTAAGAAATGTAACAATGAGTAAAGTTTTCTTTGCTTCAAAAATACAAGCATTTGGTATCAGAGCTTTCTTCTTAAGGGATCTGTTGTGTGAAATTGACGCGTCAATGGAAGCTGAAGCATTCTCCGCAATTGCTCCGTCGGTGTTCGATGGAGATAATACAAGATTGGGCAGTACGTATGGAGACATACTTGGAAGCTTTAGATCTTTGGGAAGCAGTGGAAGAAGACTATGAAATTCCTGCACTTCCAAACAATCCCACCATGGCACAGATTAAAGCACAGAAAGAAAAGAAGACAAAGAAATCAAAGGCAAAGGCCTGCTTGTTTGCTGCAGTCTCATCCATCATCTTCACTCGTATCATGTCTCTAAAGTCAGCAAAAGAGATATGGGATTATCTTAAGAATGAATATGAAGGAGATGAAAGAATTAAAGGGATGCAAGTCCTTAACTTGATTAGGGAATTTGAACTTCAAAGAATGAAAGACTCCAAAGACGATTAAAGATTACTCCGATAAGCTTCTGAGTAATCGCAAACAAGTAAGGCTTATTGGATCTGAATTTACTGACTCAAGAATTGTAGAAAAAAATTCTTGTTACAGTACCTGACAGATATAAAGCAACCAATCACTGCCTTGGAGAATACAAAGGATCTGTCAAAAATTTCCTTAACAGAATTGCTTAACGCTTTGCAAGCACAAGAACAAAGAAGACTGATGAGGGAGATACAACAATTGAAGGAGCTTTGGCAGTCAAGCATCAAAATGTGGCCAAAAAGCAAAAGAAAAAAGAAAAAGGATTTTGAAGGAAATGGGGCAAGTACTGCATCAGCCAATGCAAAAGAAAAGAAATGAAAATTAGAAGAAATCCTATTCACCCTTGCAACATTGTGGAAAGAAGGGTTATCCTCTATTTAGATGCTGGAGAAGACCTGATGCTAAATGCACAAAATGTAATCAGATGGGGCATGAAGCTGTTATCTGTAAAAACAAAATTCTGTAACCTGGTGAAGATGCAAAGATTGCTGATCAAGAGGAGGAAGATCACCTGTTCGTAGCTACATGTTTCTCTGACATCGAATCAAGTGAGAGTTGGCTTATTGATAGTGGTTGTACTAATCACATGACACATGATAAGGATCTATTCAGGGAACTAAGCAATGTAAACTCATCGAAAGTTCGAGTTGGTAATAGCAAATACATAACTGTGAAGGGAAAAGGAACAGTTGCAATTTCAACTTGTTCAGGTACAAAGTTCATTTCTGATGTATTATATGTCCCTGAAATTGATCAAAACTTGTTAAGTGTAGGACAACTAATTGAAAAAGGTTATAAAGTTATGTTCGAAAATAAAAGTTGCTTGATTAAAGATGCAGTTGGCCAAGATATTTTCAAAGTAAAAATGAAAGGGAAAAGCTTTGCTCTAAATCTATTGGAAGATGAGCAAACTACTTTCCCAATCAAAGAAAATATCACTGAAATATGGCACAAGAGGCTCGGACATTATCATCATTAGGGGCTGCTGCAGATGAAATCCAAGAATATGGTAAATGATTTTCCAGAACTTGATGACCATATTCCAATTGCAAAGCATGTTCAGTTTGGAAAGCAAAGTAGGAAACCATTTCCCAAGGCAACATGGAGAGCATCAAAGAAGTTACAATTAATTCATACTGACATTGCAGGCCCACAAAGAACGCCTTCTCTGAAAGGTAGTCTTTATTATGTTGCATTCATTGATGATTTCACCCGTATGTGTTGGATCTTCTTTTTAAAGTACAAGTCAGAGGTGGCTCAAGTCTTTTGGAACTTTAAAACCAGAGTTGAGAACGAGAGTGACTGTAGAATTCAAACTCTCAGATCAGACAATGGAAAAGAGTACACCTCTGAAGCATTCACATCATTTTTATGAAGAGGCAGGCATTCAACATCAATTAACTGCTCCATACACTCTACAATAAAATAGAGTAAGTGAGAGACGGAATAGATTCATATTAGAGATGACATGATGTATGCTATATGAGAAGAACCTGCCAAAGTAATTTTAGGCTGAAGCAGTAAATACTGCTATTTTTTTGCAAAACAAGCTTCCCACAAAAGCAGTGAAGGATCAAACACCCTTTGAGGCATGGTATGGTTATAAACCATCTCTGAATTTCCTTAAAATATTTGGATGTTTGTGCTTCACTTATGTTCCACAGACCAAGAAAGATAAATTAGATAAAAGAGCACTTCCAGGCATCTTCATTGACTACAGCTCAGTTGCAAAAGCTTATAAAGTTTTTCAGCCACAAACTGAAAAAATTATTATAAGCAGGGATGTGCACTTTATGAAAGATGAAGAGTGGAACTGGGATGATGCAAAAAAGATGGATCCAACCTTAAAAGAACACAAGCTGAAGTTTCCTAGCATTGGAGACTGGGAGAATGAAATGGTGGATGACAGTCCTATCAGAGGTACAAGACTACTTTTTTATGTTTATCAAAGATGCAATATTGTTATGTGTGAACCTACAAATTATGAAGAGGCCAAGATGGATCAAAATTGGATTACTGCAATGAAGGAGGAGCTATTCATGATTGAAAGGAACGAAACATGGGAGTTGGTTGATCGACCCCAAAACAAAAAAGTAATTTGAGTCAAATAGGTGTACAGAACCAAGCTTAATGTTGATGGCTCAATCAACAAGTATAAAGCTAGACTCGTGGTCAAAGGATATGCTCAAATACTCGATGTGAACTACTCAGATACCTTCACACCAGTCGTTAGACTCGACACCATCAGGCTCTTACTCGCTGTTACAGCATAAAAAAATTAGAAAGTGCACCAATTAGATGTCAAGTCAGCATTCTTGAATGGTTTTCTGCATGAGGAGATTTATGTAGAACAACTAGAAGGCTATGTTAAGGAAGGAGAAGAAGACAAGGTTTATCTTCTTAAAAAGGTACTTTACGGATTGAAGCAAGCTCCAAGAGCTTGGTACAGTAGGATTGATGAACATTTACAGAACTTGAGATTTGTCAAAAGCTTATCTGAATCAACATTATACGTTAAGCACAATGGAGCTGACATTCTTATCATCTCACTATATGTGGATGACTTACTTATGACAGGAAACAACACAAGTATTATGGAAAAGTTTAAGCAAGAGATGATGGAGTTTTTTTGAAATGACAGATCTTGGATTGATGACTTTTTTTCTTGGAATGGAAATCAAACAGAATGAACATGAAGTCTTCATTTGTCAAAAGAAATATGCCAAGGAGATTCTGAAGAAGTTTAAACTCAAAGAATGTAAAGAAATGAGGATACCAATGAACTCAAAAGAAAAGCTCTGTAAAGAAGATGGAACAGAGAATATTGATCAGGCATATTTCAGAAGCCTGATTGGTTGCTTAATGTTTCTCACAGCAACTCGGCCTGACATTTTGAATGCTATAAGCATTTTGTCTCGGTTTATGCATTGTGCAAGTGAATGGCATCTCAAGGCTGCAAAGAGGGTGCTTAGATATGTGAAAGGCACAAGTGATTTTGGCATTAAATACACAAAGAGCAAAGAGTTCAAGCTGGTTGGTTTCTCAGACAGTGATTGGGGAGGTTCCATTGATGATATGAAGAGCACTTCAGGCTATTGTTTCACACTTGATTCTGGTGTTTTCTCATGGAGCTCGAAAAAACAAGAAATTGTAGCTCAATCCACAGCTGAAGCAGAGTTTATTACTGCAACAGCTGCTGTTAATCAAGCTTTGTGGCTAAGGAAGATTTTAATCGATCTTAACTTAGAGTAGGAGGAAAGCATGAAGATTCTTGTTGACAATCAAGCTGCCATTGCTATCTCTCAAAATCCTGTGTTTCACGGGAAAACTAAATATTTTAATATTAAATTATTCTTCTTAAGGGAAGTACAGAAAGATGGAGCTATTGTTCTTGTCTACTGCAAAACAGAAGATCAGGTTGCAGATGTTTTCACCAAGCCACTGCCAGTTAGCAAGTTTGAATTTCTGAGGACAAAACTTGGTGTTTGCAGCTCCTAAAGTAAGGAGAAGTGTTAGAAAATGTGTTTAGAACTGCTAATGTGGATTCATTGAATGTTTCATGTAGTTCCTGTTTTTCTGATGTTGGTTATTTTTTGTTATTCATGCTGGTGGTCATGGCTTAATCTTAGGATTATGATTTTAGTCGGTAGTTATTAATTAGGCTTCAAATTGTAACATTTCTGATGTTAAGAAATGTAACAGTGAGTAAAGTTTTCTTTGCTTCAAAAATAACAACATAGATAATTGTAGACAACTGCATATATTGAGGATTTGTAATACCCCAGCCTAAATGATAATTGGGGCTATACTAAAATCCATCAGTTTATTAAAAGATTAATTAATAAAAGAAAAAGAGTTGAGATATTAATGAATGAAAACTTATTTATCCTGAAACAGAAAGAAAGTAAGAGTTTTTCTTTTTCATCTTTCTTAAGATTAAAAAACATGAAAAATCAAATTAGAGATTCGAAATCAAGGGCTACAATTAAGTTAGTCTCCTAATGGTAAATATATGTCATCTTTTTATTTAAGAAATATACCATGTGATAAAATATCATATCACCCCGATACTAATAATTCATATACTTACTCTCTCCCTATACAGGTTCGTTCCTCCTCGGATTGGATGAGGAGCCACCATCGGTACTAGGTCAATACTAGCGAGAGGGATGATAGTGACTCGAGCGTAAGCGAGAGGGATGACTCGACCAACTGGAGAGGGTTGAAGGGGAAGAGTTTCAAACCTTTCCTTTTAGTCAAGCCTCTTTCGAACCTCTTCTTTCCATGCATAAATCTTTGTAGCAAAGCAATTGAACGTGTAATGGCTACTAATACTAAATAACCTCCTTTGACTTTTTCAAGTTATTATTTGAAATTGAAGTTCTAAAAGAAAAATAAAAAAAATTATGAAATGTTTCATTAATCTTCGATTAGGATAAGTTATTGTGTTTTATTTATTTCATATTAATAAGATCTAATGATGATTATTGAGTAGATTTTAAAGACTGAAAGTGGAGATTTTGATTTTTAAAGTTTAAAGGAAAAATTTTATTTTTGGATAAGATACTATTATTTATAGCAATAGATTAAATAATATTTATATCAAGGGATTAGATATTGCTATGATTATTATATATCATTGGAAAGCATATTGAATCTACTTTCTAATGAAATAAACGGAAGTTGAATCGAGTTTTCTATTGAAAAGTTATCTAATTTTTACTTAAGGATATGCAAGTTGTATAGCAGCAACATCAAGGTTGAATTATGAAAATTGTTATAAATTTTATACAAGGAATTAAGAATTGAGCCATACATGTTTGAAAAGGTTATTGAGTTTACTTTCCAACAAAATAAGTGAATTGAATTTAATATTTCCTATGAATAAATATGTAATTTTTATTAGAAGTTATACATGCTATCTGGAAGTAGCATATGACGTGAATTGCAAAATTTATTACAATTAATCTATAAGGAATTATGATGTGAGCCATATATGGTTAGAAGGTTTATCGAGTCTAGTTTCTAACGCACTATAAAGATCTTAATTTTGAGTTGGATATCTTGAGATATGATTATTTTAATGAAATGAGCTTAAACTGCCAATATTAGTTATTAAAGTTAACATTTATATAACTTAGTTGTTTTTCAATATTAATAGTCTAAAAAAGAGTTGATTAATTTTTATATATTTAAATGATCTTAAATAAGTTGTTAATTATTTTGAGAGAAAAACTAAGTGGTGGAATTGAATGGAGATAAGTAAAATTTTACACACTTTACTTATTTTTGAATCTATATATATGTATATTTTAAATGAATGAATGTTTTATTTCTTATTTTGATGTATGAAAATAAGATCAAGTATTTGATTATTTTGTATTTTTCTATATAAACAATAGTCATGTTTATGAATGAAATGAGAAATTGGATTATGTTTAAATAATTATTTTATAATAGCTATGTTTTTATATTCTTGGGAAATGAGATTATCGACATCAGAATTAGTTCTACGGCTTAGCTAACAGGCTATAGTAGTTAGCGTAAGGCCTTGACTAGCAGATTATAATAGTTAGTAATGATCATAAGAATAAAATTATTGATACGATCAATGTCATGGATTATAGCAGTTACTATAAGTAATGATGAACTAATAATTTATGATAATATATGATGATTTTAAAGATTGATCCATTATTTGTTTGATTATGATATTTGAATGGTAGTATATTTTAAAATGATTTATGAATTGATATGTTTGATATTGATTAGTGAGTTTACAAAATGTTTGACATAATAATGATATTTGAAATGTTTTGATATTATGATTTGATGAATGTTTTGAATGATCTATATGATATGTATGAAAACAATACTTGATCCAATAAAGTGTGTGAGGTTATACTTGCTAAACTGTAGTTTGCTTATTACCTTTTTAACTTTTTCTTTACAGATAAGTAAATGATAAGTTTACTTAGTTATATTAGAAGCTAGAAGATAAGATTGAAAATATTACTTGGACATTGGAGATACTATTAGCTAATGAGATATTATGAAGTGGTTTAGTATTTTTATTAGTTTGCATTTGGGAATATGAAGATTTCTCATCAGTTAACTTAAAGTTATGTATTTATTTGATAGATTATTTTATTGAAGAATTTTAGAATGATTTAGAAAGTAAATTTCATATTACTTTGGAATTTTATTTCAAGATAATATGATCACATTGTGTCTTAATCTCAGAACGTGAAAAATCACCAATTATTAAGAATGTAAGATGCAGAACATACTATAAGCCAGCAAACCTTGCCGAATTCACTTGTTCTAGATTTTGAAAGCAAAGGTTCACAGTAGCAAGCAAGCACCAAAATGAAACAAAGACATAATTTCCATTGATCGTGACAGATTTCAATGTTTTACTTAAATTCTTGTGATCTTGTTACATTTTCTTTCAATGATATAAATAGCTTCTAGTGTGGCTCTAACAATGTAATGGTGAATTCATTTGATGAAGTAGATTCATACTTGCTTGATGTGGACTCAGTTGAAGACAGATTTCTTTCAATGAAATAGCCAGCCTGATTTGGTTGAGGCAATGCACTGTCACCACCCAACATAAATAGCACAGATGATATATTTGGTTTGTCTTCTGGCTGTTGTTGCACACAAAAAAGCGTTACACGAATGCGCCTTAAATTTGGCATATAGCAATTTTTTCCTTTTCGAGTTAGGCAAAAGGAGTCATTAAATTGGCAGTGAAGAGGCAGCTGCCAGCCTTCAATGCTCCCATTATGTGGATCCTTCCTCAGAATAGTATGTGTCATAACGTCTAGATCCGGGGATCTATCGCTAGACATTGACTTGAAAGAGTTGCTACCAATCTTTTTTATCTAGGTGCGATTGGCCACCTAAGGAATCTATCCTTTCAGGGAACACTTAAGTTTAAGGGTCCCTAAAAGAATAGGTTCGGGTCTACTAACCAGAATAGGGTTTGAGAGTTCGGTTACATGTGAGGAAGGTTATAGCACCCTCACAACGCCCATCAAAAGATGGTACCAGCTTAATTTTGTGTTATCCAATAAGCCTTAAAAATTTACCAAGTAATTAGTTATTGAAAATTATTCTCAATAGACTCTAATACTTTTAGCAGAAAATTGAAAAAATCCCCTCACCTCAAGAGTATGCAAGAAAACTACTATTTCACCTGCAGAGGCTCCATTGTTGGATTATTTGACATTAAAAAAAATATTCAAGAAAGTAAAAAAATGATTGCTTTTGTGCAGAGAAAATTGATACTTTCAACTTTTCCTCAAAAATCCATTTTTGAAAACTTATTTTTAAGAAAAATTGATACTTTCAACTTTTTTCCAAAAATATTTTTTGGAAAGCTTATTTCAAGGAAAATTGATACTTTCAACATTTTCTTGAAAATATTTTTTTCTTGAAATTATTATTTTTATTATTAACCAATGTTTTTAAATCATGAAAACACAAAATAAATAAATAAAATGAATGAATAAATGACATGCTATAACCAAAAAGTCAAATCGGGAAAGAAACATCTTACAAAAATTTGGACCATTTCTCGATTTGTACGTGTCATCCTTGCGTAGGGGCCATGCCTAACAACCTTCTTCTACAGATCTGAAATCTTGATGTTTTTATTCCACTTTACAGGCCTGTCCAGAAATTCTTTTGCAATGCTTTCATGTGCAATAAAATGAGATGCTGTACTGTAGATCTGTCCGTTTGTCCATAAGCAACCAAATGCAGTCCATTCAGTAGCCTTGTCCATCTTCTCAATCTTATCCTCTGAAAAACCACCAAATGATCGGATTGTGATCTGCTACTCTTCTCCAGTTGCCTTATCCTTAGCAGAAACAGTTACAATCCCATTAGTGTCTATGTCAAATGTGACTTCAATTTAGGGCAAGCCTCTACGTGCAGGTGGAATACCAACAAGATCAAACTCACCCAAAATCTTATTGTCAGTTGCCAAGTGACATTCACCTTGAAGAACTTTAATTCCAACCTGAGTTTGGTTGTCTGCTGCAGTAGAGAAAACCTGTAATTTTTTTGTAGGGATAGTTGTATTTCTGTCGATCAACCTAGTGAAAATTCCACCAAAAGTTTCAATACCAAGTGACAGAGGAGTTACATCCAACAGAAGCAGCTCTTTAACATCACCTTGAAGGATACCACCTTGAATAGCAACTCCCATTGCAACTGCCTCATCAGGATTAACCCCTTTG